AGTCTCAAGTGGGCCTCCCTGGTGGCACAAGGGGTTAAGTTGCAGCATATGAAGCTGACCACAGCCACTGCAACGTACATTCGATCCCAGACCAGGGAGCTACCCACATGGCGCAGCAGACCTCTCTTGACTAGACCGCTGCTCCCCTCAACAGTGTATTTCAGTTAGTCTGCCTGTTCTGTTCCCCACTCTGTCTCTGGTGAATCCTCTCACCACCCCCCACACACACCTCTGCCCTGTACCCCAGTTCTTGTACAAATAAATAAATCTTTTAAAAAATAAAAAAAAAAATAGTCTCAAATATCTATAACTTTTATTTTTGATCTTCTCACCCCAATAACATTTTAAGTCTGCAGGGAAATGAACCTATTTTATAATTTTCTGCACTTCTGTTGGACATAACAAAGTACTTTTTACATTGTAGGAATTAATAAATATTTGATTGGCTGCCAAATAAAGTTCCTTCTTTACTGCATGTTCTACAAGTACTGATTAAAAACAAAATAGTTATGAACGTACTAGTAGCTGGTTGAAGGAATTTAGACAGCCTTATATTTTGAATCAGCACTGTGTATGTGTTTTTGTTTTTGTTTTTAATCTAGGTATTGTTTCTCAAAGAATACACAGTCAAATTGAGATGACATGGCTAACCCTAGAGGTCATACCATCAGCTGGGTCATAAGAGAGGAATGAAAGAAATATTAGTAACAAAGTTTCACAAATTAGGTGGAATTTTACCTGGGCATATAGTGACAGTATGATAGTATCCAATAATAACTAACAGCAGTAACTAACGCTTTAAGAGAGCTAAAATGTACCAGGTATTATTCTTGTTAAGGAATTTTCACATATTGACTCACTTAATTCTCACTATCACCCTTTAGAAAAAGTAGTTTTCATTTTTCAGATGAGGACACTGAGGTCCTGCTCAGTTGTTCCACACCTGGTAAGTAATGGAACAGGGCACTGAATTGGAGACAGGAGAAGAAGAGAAGAAGACAGAATAAGCGTAGCTATTTTAGAAAGTGTGGAAAGCAGCTTGTGAGACTAAAACAGAAAATGCTTGTAAAGGGTCCTTAGACCAAAAACTGAACAAATAGGACAGGGATGGATGACAGAGTATCTTGAAAACCAGGGAAAGGAAGTTAAATTTAATAGGTGGAAAGCAGGAAGCCAATAGATATTTGGTAGCAAGAAAAAATCGCAATAAGGAATATTAAAGTGATATTTCTATTGAGAACAAATAGGAGGAGGAGACACTGGGTTTTGAGAGTTTCAAATGATTTCCAGAATTCTAGGGTGAGGAAACTAGTACTGGGATTCAGATGATAAAGTGCAGAAAACAGAGCTATTAGAAATAAACAAAAAATATGAACATGACATGTTGAATGGGAAAATATAAGAGGTAAATTTTTAAAGATTTTATATATTTATTTATTTTTGCATAGAAGAACTGGGGTTCAGGCCAGAGGTGCATGGGTGAGGGCGTGAAAGGATTCACCAGAGACAGAGTGGGGAGCAGAACAACCAGACCTACTGAAATACACATCAAAGGGGAGCAGTGGGCCATACAGGAGAGGTCTGCTGTGCCATCTGTGGGTTAACAAACTGGCTGGGGCTGGAACTCAGGCCCTAGAGGTGATAGCGCTGAGACCCTAGGCCACCAGGGAGGCCCTAGAAGAGGTGATGCTTAACTTAAAGCTGATATGACCAAGAGAGAAGGAAAATACAAAGAGGTGTACAATGATTCTTTTCATTTGTGGTATGATGAGTTTAAGAAGATGGTCAAAATCTAGAAGACACCAAGACTGCAAAAACCAGGAGGTGGGCCTCCCCTGGTGGTGTAGCAGTTGAGCGCTGGGCTGCGAAGCTGCCCGCAGCCTCTGCAGCGCCGGTTCGATCCCTGGCCGCCGGCGAGGGTCCCACATGGCGCGCAGACCTCTCCTGCCGCCGCCCGCTGCTCCCGTCAGCAGTGTACTTCGTCACTCTGCCTGTTCTGCTCCCCGCTCTGGCTCTGGTGAATTCTCTCACCCTCCGGTGCTTCTGACTGTACCCAGTGCATGTATAAATAAATAAATAAATCTTTTTAAAAAAAAAAAAACCAAACAAACAAAAAAAAAAAAACCAGGAGGTGACTAGAACTGTACGTAATAGGATTAGTTTTTAAATGAAAGAATTAGGCAGAAGCTATAAAGAAATTAAATAGAAAGGGAAATATATTAGGGCCTCCCCGGTGGCGCAGTGGTTGAGCGCTGGGTTGCAAAGCTGCCCGCAGCCTCTGCAGCACCGGTTCGATCCCCGGCTGCTCCCCGGCCACTGGAGGAGGGTCCCACATGGCGCGCAGACCTCTCCTGCCGCCCGCTGCTCCCCTCAGCAGTGTACTTCGGTCCTTCTGCCTGCTCTGCTCCCCGCTCTGGCTCTGGTGAATTCTCTCACCCTCCCACGCTTCGGACTGTACCCAGTGCATGTATAAACAAAACAAACAAATAAATAAAACATGCCTCTATTAAAAAAAAAAAAATTAAAAAAAAAAAAGAAAGGGAAATATATTATGCCATGATCAGCTGGTAATAGCTTTGCATTAATAAGCTCATCAATAATTCCCATGAGGAGGAGGATCGATTAGTGTCCAACACTAAAAAATTTTATCAGAGGGCCTCCCTGGTGGCGCAAGGGGTTAAGACGCAACCTAGGATGCTGTCTGCAGCCACTGCAGCACGAGTTCAATCCCCAGCCAGGGAGATACCCACATGGCGCAGCAGACCTCTCCTGACTTGCCCGCTGCTTCCCTCGGCAGTGTATTTCAGTCAGTCTGCCTGTTCTGCTCCTCACCCTGTCTCTGGTGAATCCTCTCACCACTCCCCACTTGTACCCCAAGTGGCGACTTGTACCCCAGTTCTTGTATGCATAAATAATAAATAAATCTTAAAAATAAGATTTGTGACTTGTACCCCAGTTCTTGTATGCATAAATAATAAATAAATCTTAAAAAAAAAATTTATCAGAAAAGTCAACCAAAAGCTAAGGTAGAGGTTCCCAAACTTTCTCCATTCAGGGAGTACTTTTATTAATTCTTTCACAGTACCCCCTAAGCTAAAAGAAATACAACTCCGTGCTTGTTGCACACTGCACAACTTTTCCAAAACCTTGGAATGAAATTGGACAGCATCACACTCTCACTGCCTATTTTACATTGGTTTCATGCAGTAGCTGCTTTTTATCAGCGCAATCTTTAAAAATAGTCTTGCAAAGGAAGGAATGTATTTACTGTTGAAACTGAACTCTCTCAAACTAATAATTCAAGCCTGAACTCACAAGTGTTCTGGGGCACCTCAGCACACAGTTTGGGAAACTGAGCTAAGGAAAGAGGCTTATAAAGAGGGGGGAAAAAAATGTATGTAAAGGGGGAGGAATAAAGGAAATTCTTAGAACACTGAACCACAAGAGGGCAGCACATAGTCGGTAGGGGCAACATAATGGGGGTGAGGAGGGTGTCAAGGAGAGAAATGAGTCAAACTTTTCCATTAAAGGGCTATAAACAAAAAGGTTAAACAATATGGTAATTAAATTATCGTGGTGATCATTTCACAGTATATAAATATCTAACCATTATGTTAACACCTCAAATTAATATAAATGTTCTGTAATTACAACACAATTTTTTTAATGCTAAAACACCCTTAACCAGTCTAATAAAAGTCCTTTTTGTCCTTTAAAAGGGAAGAAACACTGGTCACTGGCAGATCACCTTATGCAAAGTCATTCTGCCCTTCTCTGAATTACCTTTGCCTGCTCAGCCATAATAGGAGTGAATATTTTTAAAGCAGCCAAGCAATGTGGAACTTTGCATGCATAATCCTATTCAATACTCCCAAAAATCTTATAAAAGGGAGGCTCAGAGATTTAAAATAACACAACTAATAAGTGGCAGGAATCCCAGAATTCAAAGACAGTGCTCTTTCCTATTCTCAGAAGCATCCCACCTTCCAGCAATAAACAGGTTAAGACAATGTGCTCCTGTCCCACTCCTGAGACACCTGTTTCAAATCACTAGGAAAACCCAGCAAATGAAACATACTGCCTTACTTACCATGTCCCTATAGCATGCTATAAACTCCAAACACAGAACATTCAGTTAGAGCAAAATGAAGCATTATGTGCTTCTTTAGACAGCATATGATGCAGTTTCCCCGGACAGGTAAATACATTTAGTATTAAGGCAAGTGCTAGACACATCCAGTTTGCTAATATTTTGCACACTAATAGATATGTGCAAATACAAAGAAGAGATTTTCACACTTAAAGTGATAAAAGTAGAAGGGGGTGGGGAAAGATTTGTTAATTCATCTTCAAATCTTCAAATACTAGAATATTTGTAGTAGTTCAACAACTCAAGGGTACAAACCTATTATGAAACCAAAAGCAATCATCACCTTATTCCCAGTTACAGTTTCTTTCTCCACATTTCTCCTCCCTTCTATGACATATTCAGTTCTTTCTATCCTCTCATTCACACAAAATAAGTTTCTCCTGACAGATTAATAGCCACCGGAAAGTTCTGTCAACCGACAAAGCAAACACAGGCTGATAAAACTATCCAGGAAGTATTCAATGTGGTAGCAGAAACTCCAGCAAGAAAAGCTAATTTGGTCTCTCAATAGGTATTTCTTATTCCTTAACAAGGTTCCCCTTTGAAAAAGTAAGAATCTGCGAGAGTGGAGAGTGTAACTGACAACGTTTTCTCCGTGCGCCTTGTGTTCCTTGTATGATCAGCAGAGAAACAATGATTATTTCTTAAAGGCTCCAAGAGCAGCAACCAACACCCCAAATTACCCTCACAGACCAACATTAAAAGTTCAGCACTGCCATTTTCTGAGGAGTAAGAAACAAGGAGTCCTGCCTGTCTCCACATGTCTCCAACCTTCCTACGCACCCAACACACAGCTCACGACACCCTCGCCTTCATGCAGCGATAAAGGGCAACACCCAGAAGCGCATACCCAGTCGCGGGAAGGGGAGGAAGGGCCTCTCTTTCTGCAGAAGAGAAACAGCTCACATCTTGCTCCCTTGCGGGCTTCTGAAACCTACAAGAAGGGCAGCAGTTAGAACCTCTGAAAAATCGGGGCAAGCAGATGTTCTTTCCTAGTCTTAGATGCCGAGAAAATTGTAAAAAGCGCTAAGAAATTGGGGGTGAGGGTGGATATCAGCACAGGGACACATGGATGCAAACAGCAACAGCCAGGCTGTAGGGTTTCCTCTCAAAAGAGGAAGATTTTCTTGCTGTGAAGTTTGCCGAGACTAGTAGAGAAAAGAGGTTGGGTGGGGGGTGGGGGGTGATCGGGAGGCAGTAGGTAGGCAGAATCCACTGCTGCCCTCCCCTTCCAGAGGCGAGGCAGCAATAACACCTACCCGCGGCACAGATCAGGCGACGACGCGCCCTCCAAGCCAGCAGGGGCTGATCCTCCCGGCGCCCCCGGCCCGACCAGGTCGGCGAAGCCCCCGGGGCAGTCCCAAGGTCCGCCAGGCTGGGCCCTCCGGGCCCTCCCGTGCGGGGCAGCTCCCTCACATCCCTCCGCAGCGAGGACTCGGGTTCCTCCTTCGCCGCGACGGCAGCAGGTCCCCGCCGAAAGTCCAGGCCCCGGGGCCGAGCGGCCGAGGGGCGGCGCGAACTCCCGGGCTCGCCCGGCGCCGGCCCAGCCTGACAGCGCGCAGGAAGGCCGTTGGCGGCGGCCGCTGCTCCCCGCGCCGGCGCCGCGTCCTCTCTCCTTCCTGCAGCCCACACCCTGGGAGGGGCGGCCTTCCAGCCCGTCACAGTCTCGTCCCCACCCTGCCCCGGCCACACGGTCTTCCCAGCGCCGCGGGCCACGCCGGCTCGGGCGCCCAATTCGCGTCGCACTCGGCCTCCGGGCGGGCCTCCAGCCCCGCGGCCTGCTCGCGGCACACTGAGGCCCGCCTCAGAGCCGGGCCGCGGCGGGGGCGGGCGCCTGGCGCGCCCTCAGACTGCGCGTGCGCGCGCTGTCCGCGGGGCCCGCGCTTCTCCGGGCGCGCGCCGCGGGGCTGGCGGGGGCGGGCCGCGCTGAGGAGGGCCGCTTGGGAAGCCGGCGGGCGCGCGCGGAGATTCCCGGGGCGGCCCCGGGGCGGGACCCCGCTGGGAAGTTGGGCTGGCCCAGGCTCGCAGAGGGGGGCTGGGAATGAGTCAGCCCCGCCGGGAAGGCGCCCCCTGCGCGCCGTCTGGCACCGCTTGGAGACTGCCCTCCTGCGCGCTGTCTTATCTTTGCTCTCGCTTCCACGTTCTGGGCGCGGCATAACTCCTTTCCCTGGCGTTGAGGGTTGGGCCAACGCCGTACACACACGCAGTTTCGTACCAGTGCAATCCCAAACGCCTGCCGGCGTTGCCGGCACCTCTGCTGGAAAGGGGTGAGGGTGGGATGAGGCACCCAGCTATCTGGAGAAACAAATTCCACCGTCCCAAAAAGTCTCATTCAGGGGGTGGCGCAAGGGGTTAAGCACCGCACTATGAAGCAGTCCGCAGCTTCTGCAGCGCGAGTTCGATCCAGGGCCTGCCAGGGAGCAACCCATGTGGCGAAGTCCTTGCAAGCATGAGCTCGATCCCTTGGCCGGCCAGGGTGCAACACACATAGCGCAGCAGTTAGGTCAATCTGCTTGCTCTGTTCCTCCTCTGTCTCTGGTGAATCATCTCACCACCACCACCACCCCGTCCCCCCCCCCCCCCCGCATCTCTGGCCTGTGCCCCAGCTCTTGTACGCATAAATAAATAAATCTTTTTTTTTTAAATGCCCCAGCTCTTGTAAGCATAAATAAAGAAATTAAAAAAAAAAAAAGCTCATTCATTTCTATAGAAGCTACTAGGTGCCAGGCAACAGGTCCCCAAAAAAGCTATGTGAACACAACCCGCATACTCCTTGCCCTATTGGGGCTTGTATTCTGATAAAGGACAAAAATGTCTTTAAACATTGTACGTTGTCACTAAGGAAAAAAATATAAAAGAAAGGGAAGATATGGTGGATTATTTTAATTAGGACTGCCAGCAAAGATATTTGTACATGAACATGAGCTAGTGCTGTAACTATCTGGAGAAAGAAGGACTAACAAAGGCAAGACTCTGAGAAGGGGATGTGTGTGGCAAGTTCTAGGAACAGGAAAGAGGTCAATATCACTTGTGGACAGTGAAGAAGGAGTTGGGTAAGAGGTGAGGCCAAAGAAGTAACCTGGGTCACAAGTGAGTAGGCCCTCTTTTTGTCAGTCTAAAAGAACTGATGTCTTTATAGCCCCTGCTTCCCCACAAGTGAATACTGTTGCAGTTCAGTTCTAGCTTATAATTAATGATTCTTTAAATAAACTTCCCCAAAGTGACTCCTGCAGCTCTGTGACAGGGTGGTCACCAAGAAAGGGGGAGGTTCCAGGTTCCTGCCCCACCTAAGGAAAGGTGGAGCTGAGCAGATTGGAGAGGAAACTGGAGAAGAGCCTGGGGAAGGAAAGAGGAAGGATGGAGAGCAAAGAAACCTGGAGGACGTACACGGAGCAGAGAGACAGGTGAAGAAGCTGTACTTGCTTTTCTGCCTTGGGCTTTTGTGCCAGGGATTTGGAGCACATGGAAGGACATACTTGAAACAGACATCGGTGACAGCCCCATGGGGCGGTAACAATGGCAGCATTTATTTTAATTTTGTGTTTGCTTTCTTCCTTCCAGACTTTTCTGGCTGTTTCTGCCCCTTTTCTATGGGTCCCCACCAGAAGGTGCTTGAGACTTGTGGCAAACTTTTGGGCCTCAGTGGCCCGGCTTTGGGCCAACGCTTTTTGGCCAGGCATTTACCCATGAGGAGATGGGTAACTTTGGGTGTTTGATTTGGAAACTATATTCTTTGTCTTCTCTTTATTGCACACTAATTGTATGCAAGTTCCTTTCTATTAAAGGTCTTACACACTAGAATATGTTTTGTCTTGATGGCAAAACCTATTTAGAGTGGGCAGGTTTGGGCATCCCAGGGTGCTCCTCACCCTGCCCTGAAAACTTCTTACATAAAATTCATTGCAAAAGGTCTTTGAGCAAAAGATAAATGGATAGTAAATGACTTGAATTCACAATGACTTCTTTAACTAAACAACTAGAGCCCTGTTTTCTCATAGGAGGGGATTTGCATGGGAGTTCCATTCCTATGGCTAGTGCTTTACAAGTAAAATATGCTAGAGGGTATTTTTATTTCTTTTAAATTTTATTTATTTATTTTTGCATAGAAGAACTGGGGTGTAGGCCAAAGGTGCAGGAGATGAGAGGATCTCACAGAGACAGAATGGGGAACAGAAGAGGCAGGTCTAGTGAAATAATCTGCTAAGGGGAGCAGTGGATGAGACAGGAGAGGTCTGCTGCACCATATGGCCAGGGATCGAACTCAGGCTGTAGTAATGATAGTACTGAGACTTAACCCCTAGGCCACCAGGGAGGTCCTTTTTATTTCTTAAAAGAAATTAGAAATAGGAGTGGTGACTCAATGGAAAATCTAATACCTGCTTAGAATATTATACTGAAATTATAAACAACCACCACCATAAGATTCCCTCTTCCTGCAAATAAAACTGTTACTAAAGTAGAAACCAGAACACAAATCCACACAAAGAAGATAAAGTGCTGAAAGTAATCTTAATGTCAAGGTTAAAATAAAGAGCATCTCAACTATGGAAATGGAAACGTATTCTTTTGTGGAGAAAAAAAAGACCTGTTATAGAACAGTGCAGATACATTTATTGTAGTAAATGACCTTTCTATATTTTGCAAAGATCTTTTTATTCAACCAGGCATGGTATCTGTTATTGTTCACTGTTTGTTAGCAATGACAGACCATTTGGAACTAGTGAATATTGAGTATCTTGTGTGGGAAAGGATTGTTTTTTATATTGGATATGGAAGATCATGAAGAGAAAACATTTACTCATAGGTAAGATCTAACTACCCATGCAGAGAGATGTAGTGACTTGCTTAGTGTCATTCAATGGTCAACTCAATAGTCATTCAAATAGTAAAAGTCCCTTTCCTCACTATGATATTATAATTTTAAGTCAATATTACCCTAGAATGTTGTGCTCCTTTAGTTCAATAGAGAATTTATTTTTTTGGATCTTCATGGATATCTTAGTATGACAGAGCTAAAAATGGTTTCCCAGGACAAACATTTCAGAAAATTTCCTTTATTCTTTGGTAATAATAAAAGAGAATTCCAGGGTCTCCCTGGTGGCACAACAGGTTGAGCACAGCAATATGAAGCTGTCCGCAGCCTCTGCAGCATGGGTTCGATTCCCGGCCAGCCGGGGAGATTCCCACATGGCTCAGTAAATCTCTCCTGTCAAGCATGCTGCTCCCCTCAGCAGTGTTTTTGCTCTGTCTGCCTGTTCTGTTCCCTGCTCTGTCTCTGGTGAATCTTCTCACCCTCCCGCGCCTCTGGCCTATTCCCTAGCTATTGTATAAAAAAAAAAATCTAAAAATAAGAGAGAATTCCAGTAAATCTAACCAATTCTTTCACAACATTCTTTCATACAATATGTAGAAACAAGAAATGTGAGTTGGATGATAACATGTTTAGATTCAAAACTATTGTCTGAGTCATATCTAAAAATTAGTGGCCAATTGTCAACTAGAGGGCAGTGTGTAATGGCATGCCACAAGATTCTGTCTTTCCATAGTAGCAGACATGGCAGCAATCAATGGTTCATGACTGCCACTGCCCAAGCAATCCCAAAGACTGTAATATATAGTGTATGTGAGAGGGGGCCTTGGCTTCTATCTGGTTTTGATGCAAAACCAGCATTGCAATTCATTGGCCAAAAGTTTACAAAATTAAACTGTGAGTCCGACAGATTCTGGTTTGAATCACAGCATTCACCAAGGAAGTCATTTAGATTTTCTAAACATCCATTTCCTCATCAATATAATGGAAATAATAACATCTTCTTTGAAGAGTTGTTTTGAAGATTAGATGCAGTGTATTTTTAAACCCTCAGAAGTTACTAAATGCCTCTTATGGTTTTGGTAGAGTTCATTTATAGATCTTGCCAAGCTGGGAGATATAAGGAACACGTAGGATTTTATTAGTAATCCTTAAGAATTTGATTGCATTACACAGAACTGTGTGGGCTGAAATGATAAGAGCTGAATTGTAATAGAGACAAATGCAAATACCTGCATTTGGATTAAAAAAAATATGCCATTTAAAGATGAAATAATGGGGCCTCCCTGGTGGCGCAGCGGTTGAACACTGGGCTGTGAAGCTGCCTGCAGCCTCTGCAGCACCAGTTCGATCCCCGGCTGCTGGGCAAGGGTCCCACATGGCACACAGACCTCTCCTGCCACCCGCTGCTCCCCTTAACAGTGTACTTTGGTCCTTCTGCCTGTTCTGCTCCCTGCTCTGGCTCTGGTGAATTCTCTCACCCTCCCGTGCTTCTGATTGTACCCAGTGCTTTTATAAATAAATAGATTTTAAAAAAATAAAAAAAAGAGGAAATAATGAAAACACCATTCTTAAGAAGAGCATCAATGTGAGAGCAAATAAAAAAAGATTTATTTATTTATTTATACAAGCACTGCGTACAGTCAGAAGTGCGGGAGGGTGAGAGAATTTACCAGAGCC